GCAGCTCTGTATACACTCCTAGGGCAGGCTGTGTACACCTCCTAGGGGGCAGCTTGTGGTACACCTCCTAGGGGGCAGCCTCTGTACACCTCCTCAGGGGCAGGCCTGTGTACACCTCCTCCAGGGGCAGCCTGTGTACAACCTCCTAGGGGGCAGCCTGTGTACACTTTCCTCAGGAGGGCAGCCTGTGTACCCACCTCCTAGGGCGCTGCCTGTGTACACCTCCTGTAGGGGGCAGCCTGTGTACACCTGCCATAGGGCAGCCTGGTGTAAACCCTCCTATTGGGCAGCCTGTTGTACCCACCTCCTCAGGGGCAGCCTGTGTACACCTCCTAGGGGGCAGCCTGTGTAGCACCCTTCCTAGGGGCAGCCTGTGTACACCTCCTAAGGGGCACGCCTGTGTACACCTCCTCAGGGGCACGCCTGTGTATTACCTCCTAGGGTCAGCCTGTGTCACGCTCCTAGGGTCAGCCTGCTGTACACCTCCTAGGGGAGCCTGTGTACACCTCCTAGGGGCAGCCGTGGCCAGGTACAACTTCGCGGCGCGGGACATGCGGGAGCTCTCGCTGCGGGAGGGCGACGTGGTGCGCATCTACAGCCGGGTCGGCGGGGACCAGGGCTGGTGGAAGGGCGAGACCAGCGGACGGGTGAGTGGCCGCCCTGGGCCGTCTGCAGCCGCCCTCCCGGCGCGGGGCCGGCTCGCACCACGGCCACACCCCGGCCCCGGACCGGGCGCCCTCTGGCCGCAGCCCCCTTACCCACACAGCCCCCAGGAAGGTGCTGAAGCCGAGCCCCCAGGGGTTGACCTGGCCCAGGTCATGCAGCTGGGGGTCAGCTGCAGGGGTCAGACCCAGAGCCAGGCCCCCAGGACGCTCGCCTGTGTTCAGCCCTGCTTGGGCTGCGTGCACGCTGCTGGGGGGGTGGGCAGGTCTTGCAGACGGTCTTCAGGTTGCTTGCAAGGGCCCTGGCTCTGTCTGCAGGCAGGGAGGCCACGAGACTGAGCCGGGCCTGGGTGTCTGTGCCGCGGGAAGATGGGAAGGGACGCGCCATGCTCCTTTCCTCCCCATCACTTCACACTTCTCCTGAGTGCTGGGGGCCCCAGTGGCCTCTCCTCTCTGCGTACCCTAAGATTCTGCTAAAGTCCACGGCGTTTTTGTCCTAGCACCCTGTCTGCAGCCCTGGCTTTGACCCATGTCCCTCAGCAGCTGCCCAGCCGGGCAGCGGAGTTGCATGTGCTACCGATTAGGAAACACCTGGCTTTCCTTGGGGACTGCCGCTGCCAGGCAGGTGCTCGGGCTGCAGGGGGGCAGTCAGCCTCGGCTCTCTTGGCCAGCTGGCACGAGCCAGTCGGCCTTCACCTGGCACGGAGTCTGACCCTGGGGGCCCTCATTCTGGTCCGTTTCCCCCCCTTCCACCTTCAGAAGGCCACTGAGTCCTTGACAGCCAAGGTGGAGGGCTGGGGCCCTGGCTCCCAAAGTAGTGCTCCTATGGTCAGCATTGGAAGCAGCTTGGGCTAAGATTTAGTAAACACACCTGGGCCTTGCACAGGTGCAGGTGGTATCCATACAGAGCTGTGGTTTAGAGCCACCGATTTGAGCATTGCTGGGTAATTCCTCTCAACTTGACCTTATCATCATTATGAAATGTCTCTTTTTATCTCTGGCAATTGGTCTTGCTGTGTGCTATTATTAATCTGCTGTCTCTCTGCTGTCTATTAATCTCTGACATCGGCCACCTTTGGGTCAGTGTCTTCTTTGCATGTTTCCTTATATTTAAGACGGGTCTCATAAACAGCTGGGATGCTTTTTAAAGCCAGTTGGATCCGACAACCTTTGACTTTTAACAGGCATATATAGTCCTTTTACGTTTAATGTAATTATAAGATGTTTAGTTTTAAATCCATCATCTGTTTATATTCTGTTTGTCACATCTGTTGCTCCTGTTTCTCTTTTCTTGCCTGCTATTAATCGATATTGTATCTTTACTCCCCTCCCCTGCGCCCTGGTTGGTCCATTAGTTACACGTGGGTTTACCTAGGCAGGTCCCTGGAGCTCACAGTGTGCACTTTGCCTTCTCCGAGGTGACCTCGAATGACCATTTTCACTGCTTCTCAGACAGCGCGAGGGCCAGCAGCCTTTTATTCTGCGCATTTTCCTCCGGGCTTGCGTGCCGGTCAGTCCTGCGTCTTAGGTCTACGTATCCTCAGACCCCACAAGACGTTGCTGTCGTCTGGGGCAGGTGTGAGCGTCTGGATTCGCAGATACTTTACGTTATTAGTGGCATTTTGATGACGTCTTTCCATTGTTCTCTGGCTTCCATTATTTTGGTAGAAAAGTCAGTCAACCTATTCTTTTATTTAAAAAACCTGTTTTCTAATATTTTGTAGAGACAAATATGTCTCAATATGTTGCTCAGATTGGTCCTGAACTCCTGGCCTCAAGCGATCCTCCACCTCGGCCTCCCAGAGTGCTGGGATTACAGGTGTGAGCCACCGCGCCCGGCCTCGGTCAACATTCACAGTGTTGTCTCCATGGCCCACTGGGCTGCATGGGAAAGAAAAAAAGCTTTGTTCTTCAGTTTTACTATAATGTTCCTAGGTGAGATTTTTCTCTGCTTGGGATTTGCAGAGATTTTTGAATCCGTGGCCCAGTGTCTACTGGTTTTAGAGATTCCTCAGCCGATGTGGTGTCTGTACAGAGAGTGTGTCTGCTCTCTTCTCCCTCTTCTCTCCCAGGGCTCCGTCCACGTGGCTGTCAGATCTGTCCACCGTGGCCTGAGTGCTCTTCGTGCCACTGTGTGTTTCTCTGGTTTTCCGTCTCGTCACTTTCTGTCCACGCGCCTTCCAGTTTATCCGTCTTCTCTTCAGCTCTGTCAACTCTGCTGCTGAGTCCTCTGTTGGAGTCTTAGTTTCAATCGCCGTATTTTTCAGCTCTAGGATTTCTATCTAATTTCTGATTTCGGTTCTCCGGGAAAACCATGTACTTTTCTTTTTTTTTTTTTTTTTTTAAATGCTATCATTAAGGATAAACCGTGTACTTTTCCATCCGTTCCCTCGAACATACAGACTCTGGGGTGTTGGCACCCCCCTGACAGCTTCCCTCCCTGCGGCTCGGTCCCTGTGCCTGCCTTTGCTCTTGGCTCTTGTCAGTTGGTCCTGACCGAACGCCAAGCTCACGTACGGAGAAAACCGCACGTGTCCTGGACGCTGTCTTCTTCCCCAAGAGGACCCACGTTTGTCTGAGTGGCAGGGCCAGGGCGCAGATCCACCGGCCACGGCTGGCGAGTCTGTGGGTGGCTCTCATGCCTGGGCTGTGGCTGCACCGGGCCCCGCGTGGCGGGCCTGGCCGAGAGCTCTGGGCTCCGGAGGGGCCCCTCACGTCCCCAAGCCCCTGCTCACCCCGCCCCGACATACGCACTCGCGCGCCCACACACGATCCTGCCGTCTTTTTCAGATCGGTTGGTTTCCGTCGACGTACGTAGAAGAGGAGGGCGTCCAGTGACGGCGGAAGCACGGCAGCCACTCGGATTTCCTCCGGAGACTCGCTCCAGCTCCAGAGCCTGCCTCTAGCTCCTCCGCGACTCGAGGGGAAACACTCTCCGACTTTCCGCGGCCCACGGGAAGGGGGAGGGCGTTCAAAATCCCAAATCCGAACCGTGTCACCGCTAGTCTGCCGCGGGGAGTGCTGCTTGTACATAGAGGAAGCCCAGGTCGGCCCCCCCAGAGCGCGAGGGGGGCAGCGCCCACAGTGCCGTGTGGCCCTGAGTGACAACAGCTCGCGGCTCGCCCCTCGGGCTGAGCTGGCATTCGGGAGCCTCCGTTCAGACAGCAGATCTGTCCAGGGAGACCGGGGACAGCAGAGGGGACCTGCCCCAGCCCCTCTGCTCAGCCTCCGCCCCCAGCCTGCTGCTCGCAGGAGGCCTCGGGCCTGGAGAGGCAAACGGGAGCCCTGCCGTGGGAGGAGAGAGCCTCGCACGGGGCCCTGCGGTCCTGGCGCCCCGGGGCTGCCCCGACCTCCTCCCGTCCCTCCACGCCGGGGCCTGCAGAGACCCCCGGCACCCCTCTCTGGGGAGGGGCCTCAGGAAGGAGGCTGTCGCTGCACCTGCTGCCCAGTCGATGGTACTGTTCTTCGCCCTGCAAGCCCCACCCCCACCCCCCGCCGCCCGCCGTGCCCTGCCGCCAGGCAGATACGTCTTTGCAGACCCTGAATCGGGCAGGGAAGGAAACAGAGTTTTCCCTTGCGAGGCCCCTGCCGCTGGCGGGCCTGCCCAGGAGGCGGCCCAGTCGGGGCCTCCTCCCCCTGCCAGGGGGTCCCCGAGGGCCTGCATAGCCTTCGCATGAGATGTCGGTTTTAGCGTGGCGGGACCTGCTTCCAGGGGCTTCTGCAGCCCACGGCCAACCCAGAATAAGTGCTCTTGGGGGTGCTCCCCCTTCCCGACGACTCCTGGCCTTTGACCTCTGGCTGGTTTAGCCAGACCCTGTTTTCTCTGCCCTGGTGTTGCATGAGACGTAGGGATACCAGCTCCCGCCCAGCTCCGAGCCAAAGCTTCTGCTGAGACCTGGGCTTCCTGGGCCCCGCCCCTACAGCTACCTGCACAGCCCGTGGGAGGAGGGGACCGGGCCACGGCCAGGTGTTGGGGAGACCGGTCCCTGCAGAGTGCGTGGCCTGGGGACAAGGGGGGAGGGTCAGGAGTCCAGCGGGAGGAGACCCCCACTGCAAAGGCTCAAGACATGGAGGAGCCTCGGCCGGGGAGCACGCTCAGGCCTGTGTGTCGCGAGCACAGAGCACTTTGGAGGGACCCTCAGCCCCGCCGTGAGCCCGGGACGGCAGGGGGACCAGCCAGCCCCGTCTGTGTTTACTGTTGTCAGAAGGTTCTTCTGTGTCGGTTTCGGGGTTTCCGTTTTTGTTGTGTTTCGTTTGACTTGTTTGTTTTTTTAAGGGGAAAAAACGTCTGTAATTATTTCATCCAAACCTCCCGTGATCTATCTGTGAATAATAAGAGATTTTATAATAGCAGGAAAATGATGTATATTTTAGTTCGTCAGGAAACAAGTCATCATGGCAACAAAGGACACTGAGAAAAAAATAATTGAGAACCCTGGACTTTTGTGAATTTTTTGTTTGTTTGTTTTGTGTTTGTTTTGAAATTTGTGTTCCGTTGGGTTTTGTTTTTGCACTGCACTAATAAGCAGGGTGGTTGCAGGGCTGGGGCGGGCTGGGCCGCGGTGTCAGCAAGAGACGGGGCGTCCCTGGTTGGGGCTTGGCACCAGGGGCCGACGTGAGCTGTGAGCAGAGGAGCCGGATGCATGCGGGTCGGGGGGCCGGGCCCCCCCAGCGGGTGGTGACTCCCTTGGAACACGGACTGTACACTTGCCAATGGGTTTTTTCAGACCACGGTTTTTACTGCAAATAAACCTAGTTCTTTTCTGCAGCAGTGGTCGGCCTTTCCTGGGGGGCGGTGGGGGGGTGGCTGATTCCTTCGCCCGAGCCCGGCAGGTCAGCCCTGGCCGGGTGCCGCGCCTAGGGGTGGCCCGGCCTTGGCAGAGGCCACGGGTCTGAAGGAGATGATGGTGCCACGGCCTCGTGGGCAGCAAAGGGGGCCCAGATCCCAGCCCCGCCCCTGGACATCTGTCCCCTCCCAAGTCGCTGTTCCTCCGCGTGTGTTGGACATGAGAATGGGACTCTCCCTGGGGTGGGTTCCGAGGTGCAGGACAGAGGAAAAGCAGAGGTGCATTTCTCCTCCTCTCTGGAGAAGCGTTCGGGGAGGTTTGTCTTGCCCGGCTGGACCCCGCGGCCAGGACCCCGGCTCCTCCCTCCCGGCCTCCCTCCTGAGCGTGGCTTTCCTGACAGTCACCCAAGGTCCAAGGCTGCCGGAGCCCCTGCCTCGAGGCCCCGGAGGGAGCAGGGCCTGTGGCCTCTCCTGGCTGCAGTGGGCGCTGGGCAACGCGGGGTCTGAGGTGGCCTGCACTGCCCCGGGGAGGAGACCGGATCGAGGCTACTAGGGCGAGGGACCAGCAGCCCTGCCTTGGGGCCGCCCCCAAGGGGCACCGTGAGGCCAAGTGGGCTGCGGCAGTGCTGGGCAGGTGTCAGTGTTAGCCACACTCGGGGAGGGGGCCTCGCTTCCGAGGGGTGCAGGTGCATGTTGGTGAGGCTGCTCCGCCCTGGTCGGCCCAGAGCCGGGCTCCCGTCCCTGCACGTCTCCTGGGCCCTCCCTCCCCCTGCTCCAGGATGGCCCCTGTCCTGTACCCCCGTGGAGGGCTGGGAGGAGGGATTTCTCAAGCCCAAGAGGCCCATTTGCTGTAGCACCTTCCCCAGGAGCCTCCAGCTCTGAGTTCTGGGGCTCACTCGTTGGGGGACTGGACACTCGCTGGCCAGCCCTGGGCGGCATTCCCGGCTGCCACCTGAGCCCTGGAGAAGACCTCAGGTCAAGGAGCAGAGAGCCGGGGCGCTGGCGGGAGCTTGGGGCAGGCATCTGCCGGGTCTGTGCTCAGACCAGAGCCCGGGCGCTGCAGGGCCGCCTGGGGCCTGGAGGGAGGAGGCGCCAGTGCCCCGGGCTCCTGACTCCTGGGCGGTGCCCTCAGTCTGACACTGGAAAGGGTCAGAGCCACGCGCCCCTGTTCACTGAGAACCGCTGCCCGCAGGGGTCATGGGGGAGCCAGGATACCAGGGCCTTCATTCTGACGACCGTGGCTGGCCCGTGGACAGGGCTGGCCCAGCCGCGGGGGAACCCGTGTCTGCACTGCAGAAACACGCCTGGGAGGAGGGACGCAAACAGCACACTTAGGGGAGGTGGAAAAGGCTCCACCATGTTATATGACTTTTCCAAGGTCACTCATGACCTCTGCCCAGCTCGGCCTGACCCCAGAGCCCCCGTCCTTGTTTGGGCCGCAGCACTGGTCCTTGGCAGCGGGCTGCCTGTCTCTCCTGCTGGGAGTCCCAGGCCGCGTGGGGCAGGCAGAGCTCCCGGATGCCAGGGGGGCGTGCAAGGGCAGAGTGGCCTTTGGACACCCCAGTGGACAAGACACGGCGGTAGGGGCGTGGGCGCCACGTGAGCGGAGAAGTTGGGAACCTGGGGGTCGACACGGTGACATGAGCAGCACAGCTCAGTCACGCCCTGGTCACGCCCGTCATGCCTGGGAGAGAGCCCCTGAGGGTGTGGCTGGGGTCTGGGCTGGGGTCTGGGTGGTGCTGTGGCTGGGGGTCTGCGGTCTGCGGTCTGGGCCGGGGTCTGGGTGGTGCTGCAGGGTCTCGGTTGCTGCTGCTTCCTTCCCTCCAAACCCCTGGGGAGTGCAGCCTGCGCCCGGCCCGAGGACAGCCCAGAGCCACCCGGTGCGGCAGGATGTCCCGCGGAAGCCTCTCGCCCCTGGATGGTTTGGGCACACGCTGGGCACCTGCCCCACAGGCTCAACTCGGGGCGACCTGCCACCGCCATGCTGGCTCCACTCTCGGATGACGTTGGAGACCGCCGTGCAGGGAAGCGTGTTCTCCGGGACACGAGTGCCCGCACCCCGGTCCCCGCAGCCGCCCCACCCACAGTGCCAGTTGAGGGGTCACTTCAGCTGCTCGTGCCCGGGAGTGCCAGTGTGCAGGTGGCCGCAGGCCCCGAGCCGTTTCCACCTGCTCCTGCACGTGGGTGTCGGGGTGGGGGGTGACCACGCGTCCATTCCGCTTTGCTGGGCGACCGGTTTTCTTTTAAGACTCTCATGAGAAAAATAAAATCTTGGCAGCGTAAACCCAGTCTTGAAAATTGTTCTGGAAATCTCCCTGGCCCGTGAACTGCCTGGGTCTGGCGCCCGTTGGCTGTGTTCTACCTCGGTTGTCTTGTCCACACAGTGGGACCTGAGATGACACACGGACGTGCCCGGCCTGCCGCCCGCCCCCGCAGGTCCCCCTTCCCCTCCGTCAGCAGGACATTGGCGGGTCACCGGGCGGGGTGCTCTCTGGTGCTCCCTTCTCGGGGCACACAGAGCTCGGTGGACGAGCCTCCCCTTCCCCCCCCACCTCCCCATCCCACCCGGACTCCTGCCCCGCGGAGGGGCCTGCAGACTGCAGACCTCCCTCTGCCCGGGAGCCTGGGCAGCAGGTGGGGGCCCAGGGCTGGCCTCAGCCCGGGGACGAGTGTCAGGCTGGCCCACGTGGGTCCGGGCCATGAGGCAGAGGGCCGAGCCCACCACAGCCCCGCTCCGATCTGTGGGCCTGGAGGAGCCCCTCACCCCAGACGTAAGCTCGCCCGTGACTTTGATTTGCACCAGTTTCCTTCGAAGTCCGCTAGAAGCGCAAAGTCCCAACACTCAGGGAAATTCACAAAACTCCCACGAAACTGCCACTGCAGGGGTTCCAGCCTCGGCCCCCCAGGTGGGGAAACTGAGTCTCTGCGAGGGGATTGGTGATGAGAGGAGCCCGAGGTCGTGCGGGTTGGAGGCAGGACCCTGTCCCGGCCTCCTGGTCAGAGCCTGGCCATCTCCAGCCCCTGGGGGAGACACCTTCCCCCGTCCCATACCCGAGTGGGGCGCCAAGCGGCAAGCGGATCCTACGATGCTGACACAGCCAGGCCGGCCCCCCGCCACCGCCCCTTGTCCAAAGTCCAGGGCGTTTGTCCTGCTAGCTGGCTCGGGGCAGTTTTGCAACAGCTGCTGCTGGTCTTTGAGCGCAGGGCCAGGCCAGGTGTGCGCTGCCCAGCCGCTGCCCTGACTGCGGCGTCTCCCGCCCATGCACCCCACACACGGCTCCGAGGGGGGCTCGGGCCACGCTCCTCCCCCACCCTCTCTAAGCCGTTCCTGGTCCTGCTGGGGAGCTGGGTAGACGGGCCAGGCCAGTCCCCTCTGCCCAGCACCCCCACACACCCCGGGAAGCCTCGGACTGGCAGGGCCAGCTCTCCTCTGGGGGCCAGGGGGCCAGGCAGTGGTCTCTCTGCCCCCGGGGCAGGGACTGAGAATGATGACAGCACATGGGCGGGCCCCCTCCTCTGAGAGGCCCTCCTGGGCTCCCCGAGGAAGGGAGGACAACCCGCTCAGAGTGGCCCCGGGTCACAGCCAGCCTTGTGGTGTCTCCTCTCCCGGGATCCGTCTGCTTCCTGGACCCGGAGCTCCGCCAGGGCCGGGACTGAGACACCGTGGGTGTCTCTGGGTTTCCCAGCAGTGCGTGTGTGTATACATTAGGCGCTCAGTAAGCGTAGAGGACGGACGAGCTGGCAGCAAGACAGATGGCATCAGCGCACAGCAGAGCACGACTGGCTGAGCAGCCTGAGTTACAGGGCGTCACTGCCAGGGCCACTTCTGGCACTGGCAGCGGCACACCGCCTTAGCAACTGCCGAGGTTTAAATCCCGTCCCTTGGACCCACCGGAGGGGAGGGGGACGGGGGAGGTCCTGTTCCGTAGCAGCGCCGGGGTCTGATTCTCCGGACGCCGGCAGGTTGCGTCTACTCACTCGCTCTGGGAGGCGGGGGCGGACACCTGCCCTGGACCCAGAGTCAGACCCTGGTCCTCCTCCCCCGGTGGCCCGGGGCAAGCAGGTCGCTCTGTGGCTCTGCTGTCCCCTAACCATCAAACGGAGGCAGGAACCGCCGCCCTGGGGCCTGGGCGCTGTGCAGCGAAAGAGCAAGTGGCCCGGCCCCTCGCCAGAGCGGGAGGGACCCAGGAGCCCAGGACGGGTGCAGACAGCTCAGGGGCACTGTCCCCGGCAGGCTGAGGTAGACTTTCTCACCTGCCCCTGGAGGCAGTGAGCACCCGCCCTGGGGTGAGCAGACTGAGGCCGGAGCACAGGTACGTGAGAGATGACATCGCCAAGGCAGCCCTGGGGCCGTGGCCCAAGGCTGTACTTCCTGCCTACCGGGCCTGCGCCGGGCTCCTGGGGGCGTGGGGAGCCCGGGCAAGCCGGGACAGGCAGGGTGCACAAGTTCACCGCAGCAACCCTGCGACCCCTGTTTTAGAGATGAAGGAGTGAGGGTCAGATGAAGAGGTCACCTGGCAGGTCACCCAGGGCTGCTGGGGTGCAGGTTCACAGCCCTGCCCTGGGGCCCTCGGCTGTCCACTTGGCTGCCGCCCTGCGGGCCCAGAGGCCTCCGTGGTGGTGGGCGGTGCCTCCCCGCCCACATCTGGGCGGACCTGGGGCTGGGAGTGAGGCTGGGGGCGGGGGCTGCCCGGTTCCGGCTGGGCAGCTGCTCAGGAAGGAAGAAGGTGAGGGCACCACAGCCACTGTGGCTCTCGGGGACAAGGGGGCTGTGGCTGGCAGGAGGTACAGCCCCGGGAGGGGCAAGGCTGGGGGCCTCCCCCGGCTGGGCGGGCCTGGCCGGAGCTCCCTCTGCCTCTGCCCTCCGGGCCATCTGGTGGGTGGACCGGCTGGGCCCTGGCGCCCGCTCCCCTCTCCCCCACCGGGAAGGCTTTCCTCGCCCGACCCCTTCCTCCTGCAGCCTGCGAGGAGGCACATCTGTGCCACCTGCCCTGCGAGGTTCGGCTGTTGCTCAGGGCCTCAGCCCTGGGACAAAGCCCCCACGTCTGCCTGACCCCGAGCGCAGGGCTGTCCGGCGCCCTCACTCCTGGGCAGCTGCCCGGGCTGGTGGAGAGTTGGGGTGGGGGGAGCAGGTTAATGTTGACGCAGCTGATTCTGGGGAGGCGGAGGCGGAGGCGGGAGGAGCACTGGGGCTGCCCCCACCGGGGCCACTGCCAGCCCCAGGCCGAGGCCGAGGCCAGGAGAGACCGGTGCGGGCGTGTGGAGGAGGCTTTTGCCCAGAAGCAGCCCGGGTGTGCTGTGCGCCGGCACAGTGCTCAGCCCAGGGGAGGAGAGGCAGGTCCTGACTTGGAGAGCCTTCCCCGCTGACCACGGCTTCCCCCCAGCAGGACACCCCTCGTGGGGGCTCCTGGAAGACCAGGGACCTTCCAGGACTGCAGGTGAGCACGGACCCGTGCCGGGGGCCTGCCGCCCTGTCCAGCGCCGCCTCTGTGGCAGAAGCAGGCGGGCTGTCACACTGCGGGGAGGGTGGCAGAGATGGGGACCGGGGGACCGGGAGGCCGAGGACAAGCTCCTGCCAGCTGCGCCCCTCAGGACCCTCCCCAGAGCCTCTCGGATCACAGCCGCCTCCCCTTGGTGGGGGGTGGGGAGCCCTGGGGGGGTGCTGCAGGGGGCGGCCCTGTCCAGCCTGAGAGCTGGGCCCCTCCCTCACCCCCACTGTGCCCAGCAAGGGCCCGGGTAGCCCCCACGGTGCAGGTGGGACAGGGTGTGGCAGCGGGTCCCCGGCCTCCCCGAAACCAGGCCCCCAGGGTGGTGGGAGAGGGGCGCAGGGTGTGTGGCCCCGTGCCCCAGTGCAGCCGCGGGGTGGCCCCGTGGTCCCGGCCGCCTGGGGGTCCCAGCCCCTCCGTGCCTCTGACCTCGCCCTGCGAAACAGGGACGCTGGTCCGGACCCCGCAGAGGCGGAGCAGCTGTGGGTGGTCAGCGAGCGCAAAGTGCTCAGCCCGTGGTCCCACCTGGGAAAGGGCAGCTGATCTCTTCACTGATTGGCTAACTCGCGTCAGTCGTCACCATTAGTGTGGGCGGCACCTGGGCACAGCCAGAGCCCTTTCCCTCTTCCTGCTGTGCTCAGAGAAGGGCACGGAAGCCCTTTGAGGGCCTTTCCCTCCCCCACGTCAGGCAGGACCCACGCCCCAGGGAGACGCCCTTGGCACCCTCTCTCCTGAGACTGCACCCCCTGCTCCTTCTTCTCTCATTATTATTAGACTTTTCTGGCTGGGGAGTCTGGGAGGGCTTCCTGGAGGAGGAGGGATACCGGGCAAGCCCCGAAGGCCAGCCGGGAAGACCTTGAAGGAGGGAGAGGCCCCTCAACCCGGCTTCTGGGGCGGCTTTGGGAGGGTGGGGCCGGGACCCTATCTGCTTCCGCCTTGAGCCCCGGGGGCTTTGGTGCTGATGAGGGAGAAGCGAGTCCCATCTGGGCTCGGGTGGGGGCTGCCGGGGAACGTGCTGGATGCACGCTTGAGGGTCGGGTGTCCTGTCCCTAGGCTGCCGCCGCCGCCCTGCGCCACCTGCTCCCTGTCCACGCCAGCTCTCCCTCTTCCCGTCCACCCTGTGTGTGCAGGCGACCCTGTCCCCCCACCGCTGGCCCCAGCCCTGCCTCGCTGTCCCCGCTGTCTCCTCTGGGGCTCCTGCCTCCCCCGCCCCCCGCCACGGCCCTGTGGGTCACAGGCGCTCGGGAGCATCTTGGCACTCTAGGGCTGGCGGGGTGGGCCCCTCCGCGCTCCAGCCGCCCTCCCCCCATGTCCTCTTACCGTCCGCGGTGTGGGGCTGAGTGTCCCGTGAGACCGGAGCTCCTGGTTTGCTGGTCTCGGTCCCCTGTCCCGGGCCCCTCCGTCCTCCCTGCCCTCCCTCACTGGTGGCCTCGCTCTCCCGGGTCTCCCGTGGGCACCTGCAGCCGTGGCAGGCCCTCCTCTCTGCCTCTCCTGGGGCCCCAGCTTTGACCTTACCGTCTTCGGGGGACTGGAAGAGGCCTGCTCCCACCATGGTCACGCTTGGGCCCAGCCAGAGCCCGCTGTAGACCAGGCCCTCAATGTGTGCACGTGGATTGAGTGAATGAACGAGCAAATGTCTCGAGAGGCCACAGGAGGAAGGCCCTGAGGGTACTGCCACAGGGCCGTATCCCCTGGGCACTGGCTCAGCGCGGCCCCCTTGTGTCCCCTCGGCACCCACCAGCTGGCTCTCCCCCCAGCTCTCTGCAGTGCTGAAGCCGGAGCCCCCATGGCCTCGCTGAGCCGAGCCCTGCGCGTGGCCGCTGCGCGCCCGCACTGGAGCCCCGCCCGGGGGCTGAGGCTGCGCCCCCCGACCAATGCGGCCGGCCCCGCGGCTGAGAAGAGTGTGCCGTATCAGCGGACCCTGAAGGACGCACAAGACCCCTCAGCAGCGGCCCGAGGCCCCAGCCGGCCTCTGCCCAGCACGGCCAATGTGGTGGTGGTCGGCGGGGGCAGCCTGGGCTGCCAGACCCTGTACCACCTGGCCAAGCTGGGCGTGAGCGGACTGGTGCTGCTGGAGCGAGACCGGCTGACCTCTGGGACCACCTGGCACACGGCAGGTAGGGGCCGGGGGCCGGGGGGAGGGACAGGACTCAGCGAGGGGCCAGGCCTGGGTCGACAACCACAAGCCTGTTAGAGGCAGCTGAGCTGCAGGGAAGAGGCCACAGAGAAACGACGTGTGGTCAGTCTGCAGGCCGCAGATTTGGGGACCGCTTGTCCCCAAGTCTCTGAAGAGCTGTGTGGGCAGAAGGGAGGGGACGCTGCCCGTGTGGCCCTGGAGGGGCCAGAAGCCCCAGGCAGCTTCTGTGCTGAGATCAGAAGCCCCAGGCAGTTGTCCGCACTGAGAGCAGAAGCCCCTTTCTTTCCAGGATGGACACCAGGGACAGGAGTGTCCTGGGAGTGATGGAGGGCAGATGGGGCCACTTAATTAACCAGCGGGCATATATTAAGCGCCTATGGTGTGCATGTCCCCAGGGCAGCCAAGCTTCTGCCTTAACCCTTTCAGCCAGGGGTGCCCCGGGAAGCGGCTGTCCTGGTCTGCAGTGCCTGCCGGTTCCCGCGGTGTAGACACCCCCAGCCCCGGCCAACCTCAACTCCCAGTGTGAGGATGCTGGCCCTGGAGCCGGGGAGAGGTGCACGCCCACTAGCGCAAGAGACGCGGGCTGGTCCACACTCTGCTGCCTCCGAGCCTTGCGCTTGCCCACTGGCGCCCGCCGTAGCCTGGCTCACGTAGTCTCTCCCCTGACGTGACCCCAGCCATGTCCCCCGCCTCACTTCCCAGACTCAGCCGCTGCACCAGGCAGCCTTTGTGGTGAAGAGCAGAAATGTGGGGTGAACTGCCCACTGCCCACCTGCTCTGTGACCGTGGGGCAGAGCCCTTTGGTGCCACCTTCGTTTCATCTGTAAAATAATCACGGCCCCCTCCCCATAGGTTCGGTGACGTCACCCGGGACAGGCTCAGCCCTGGGCTCGGCACACAGCAGGTGCTCCATAAGTGGGAGCTTGGACATCCTCACTGTCCGCTCAAGGGGTGGGGGCCGCCCTAACATTCAGCTCTGACCCAGTCATTTCCTGCCCAGCAGCCTCTCTGGGCTCCCCGGGGGCTGCGGGTTATGCTGCAGGGGTGGGGAAGGGGTGCAGCTCCCCTCCCTGGGGACTGGGGGCTGACGCGCCTGCTCCTCCGTCCCGGGCCAGGCCTGTTGTGGCAGCTGCGGCCCAGTGACGTGGAGGTGGAGCTTCTGGCGCACACGCGGCGCGTGGTGAGCCGCGAGCTGGAGGAGGAGACCGGGCTGCACACCGGCTGGATCCAGAACGGGGGCCTCTTCATCGCGTCCAACCGGCAGCGCCTGGACGAGTACAAGAGGCTCATGTCGGTGGGTGCGACCGGGGGGTGGGGGCTTGTCCAGGGGTGCGCTCCCTGGTGGGGGCTCGTCCGGGGGTGCGCTCCCTGGTGGGGGCTCGTCCGGGGGTGCGCTCCCTGGTGAGGGCTTGTCTGGGAGTGTGCTCCCTGGTGGGGGCTCGTCCGTGGGTGCGCTCCCCGGGGAAGGAGCCCGACAGGTGACAGATCTGGGTTCCAACTCCCGCTCCATCCTTGCTGGCTGGGCCACCTGGAGCAAGTGACTTTGCCACCCTTCATTGGGAACTCCCCAAAAAACCTGATTGGCCAAGCTCATCCCTGGATAGGCGGAGCCTGTCCTGATGGGCCACGCTGATTGGCTGTGCTTGCGCCAATCAAGTGCAGTGGGGCGTTGTCTACCTGGAACTGAGGCCCAGGCTGGTGTCACCGGAGCTCGGTGATCGGAACATGATGCCCAGCCTGACTCCCGGGCTTGTGGGTGGCTTATTTCATACGACGGACCGTGTGCCGCCCGCGCTCCTGGGGATGACATGATAGCAAGGAGGAGGGGTGGTGGCCACCTGCCCGGGTCCCCGGCCACATGTGTCCGAGCTTGGGGAACCCTCCTCCAGCCTGGGTGTGGGGACCCCGGGGGCTCCTGGGAGGAAGCAGGGAGGGGCCCTCGGCCATGCTCCCCATGAGCCGGTCAATCTCCCGGGATCCCCAGCTGGGCAAGGCCTACGGCGTGGAGTCCCACGTGCTGAGCCCCGCGGAGACCAAGGCGTTGTACCCGCTGATGAACGTGGACGACCTCTACGGGACCCTGCACGTGCCGCACGACGGCACCATGGACCCCGCGGGCACCTGCACCGCCCTGGCCAGGGCCGCGACTGCCCGGGGAGCACAGGTACCCGCGGCTCCCGTCCCTGCTCCCAGCCCGCCCTCCCGCGGAGGAGCCCCGGGAGCACAAGGCAAGAGGGCAGGCGCTTTCTCTGAGTGCTGTGTGACCCTGAGCCGGTCAGGACCTCTCTGGGCCCTCTGATCCTCTCCTGCAAAGGGGAGGCCGTGCCTGGGGTCCGTTTGGAGGCCTCAGTCTGGTACGCAGGTGCAGCCCCTTCCCGCCTCCTTGCCCTGGGTCAGACTCTGGCCGCACAAGTGAATCCCCCTAAAGTCCCTTCTTGCAATTGTTATCTCCCTTTGTCCCAATTAAACAGGTAGTTGTTGTAAAAAATAATTTGAAACAAGCAAAAAGAAGACAAATAAGCAAACAAACAAACAAACAAAAAAAAAAAAAAAAACAGTGAAAATCACCCAGCAGTAGCCAGTATTGGCATTTTAGTGTGTTTCGCTCCACGCGTTGTTTTCTGTGAAGGTGTGTGTGTGTGCAACACGCAACCAAGGTCTTCATGGTTTGTGGACTTTTTTATAGATAAAAGGAACGAACAGTAGACCCCAGACGTCTTTTCATTAATCAAAAGTCTTGCTTAAAAAAAGAAAGCCGGCTACCTTTTCGAATAACGGGAAAGGGTCTTCCCACTTGTGGCAGGTTCCCCTGTCAAGTTACAGGTGGATTTCGGCTTTCTGGCGCTGTGGTTACCCCACTTCCCGGCAGTATCCCGTGAGAACTGCCGCTAGCAGGACAGTGTCCTCGGGTCCCAGCCGGGAGGGGAGGTTGCTCAGGGTAGGTGGCCAGCGCTGCCCCCAGGGAGCCCGGTGTGGCTTTAGAAGTGGTCACTCTTGATCCCAGGTCATTGAGAACTGCCCGGTGACTGGCATCCGTGTGCGGACAGACGACTTCGGGGCGCGGCGGGTCACGGCCGTGGAGACGGAGCACGGCTCCATCCAGACACCCTGCGTGGTCAACTGTGCAGGTGGGAATGGCGTCTCTCCTGGCTCCCGGGTGGCCGCGCCGGCTGCCCCCTGAACCTGGCCCCACCTCTGCAGGGCCTCTCTCTGAGTCAGGGAGTCTCCGCCAGGTAGACAGGTGTGCAGAGGTGCCCTAGGCCCAGCTGGGCGGCAGCCCCCAGCAGGTGCCCGGGGAGCTGAGCCGGCTGCGCTCTGCCTGCAGGGGTGTGGGCAAGCGCCGTGGGCCGGATGGCTGGAGTCAAGGTCCCGCTGGTGGCCATGCACCATGCCTACGTCGTCACGGAGCGCATCGAGGGGATCCAGGTAGGTGGACGGCCCCGGGTTCTGTGTCAGGCTGGGCGGGGGGGCGTGGTGGTGGTGCAGGGACCTGGCCCTGAAACCCAGCTTGGCCACATACAGGTGGCGTGACCCTCCTGGGTTCCCTCAGTGCCCTGAGCCTCAGTCACCTCGGCTGTGAAGTGGGTAAAGGGGTGGTGGTGAATCGACAGCTAGAAGGATGTGCAGGTTGGTGGGTGGAAGGAGGTACGGAAGAGGGAACAGCTGCATAAGTGGATGGACAGATGGACGGAGGGACCGAAGGAATGAGTGGATGGAAGGATGGCAGGATGCATGGAGGGAAGGGAGTGCATGGACGGGTGAGTCCACGGAGGCAGGGGCCAGGGGGTGAGTGGGAGGAGGAATGTGCGGATGGAGACATGGATGGATGGGGGAGGGCTGGGCAGAGAGGCAGGAGCAAGGATGGTCGTGTGACGGATGGGGGGAGGGCCGGTGGCCGGCGGGCAGGAAGCTCCTAGCCACCACCGCAGCCGAGGAGGACAGGAGAGGAGAGGGGGCAGGAGGCGCCCAGCCCCAGGTGCCGGCAGGTGCACCTGGGCACCTGGCCTCCCTTGGCAGAGGGCTCGCAGAGAGGTTCTGAGTGCTGGGAATCGGTGCCCTCTGAGACAGGCACCGGGCACATTTGGGAGCATGCAAACATGCAGGGGTCTCTGAAACTCCTGGGCACAGAGCGTGGCTAAAAGCTCGGCTGGCTGCACCACACAGGACAGGCTTGGGGACTGGTTTGGACGTCATTGAGAAGCCATGGCCTGAGGGCTGGGGGGCCATCTCCAGGGTCTCCCTTCATCCATCCCTCCCTCCTGCCTGTTTGGAACCTGTCTCCCACCATTCCACCCAGCCTCCCTCCCATTCCCCAGCCAGCGGCGACCGGGTGAGCTCCGTGTTCCAGGCTGTGTTCTAGAAACCGTGGCCGTGACGGGACGAGAGGTGGGGAGGGTGCAGGCAAGTGAACAGGCAATTCCAAGTCGTGCTCACAGGGGCTCTGATGGGACACCCCAGCCCTGGTGGACCAGGGTGGCTCCAGGAGGAGGAGGCCACATCCAGGTGAGGCAGGGCTGAGGCTGTGGGGTGGGGACAGTGTGAGAGCCTGCCCTCGCTAGGGCCAGCCCAGCAAAGCAGGGTGCCTGGACCCCACTGGCCCCTTCCCCTGGATGCAGTCGCCGTCACAGAGCAAGTGCGATGTCCAGCAGACGCCCGCGGGGGGCCGCTGGCACACGGCTGGGTACGCAGGGCAAAGCACGACCTCGCTGCCTGAGGCCGAGCACTGAGGCCTCCGTGGTGTCCGTGGGGAGAGCCGCTCCCCCAGGTGGCCGCGAGGGGTCGCCCTCAGACCGCAGCAGGCTCCGGCAGGGCGGGGCAGAGGCTGAGTCCTGGGGACGGGGCTGCAGGGAGCCCGGCCACAGGGTGTCCACGGACCCCAGGGCTGCGGCTCCAAGCCCCAGTGCTGGACTCTCCCCTAACTCCTGCCTGGGAGGCACGGTTCAGGGAAGAAGCCAGCGCTCAGCCCGGGCCTCTGCAGCT